GCAACTGTGGTGGGCCCCCCCAGGCTGAGCTCCCGGTAGTTCCGCCACTGGCTCTGCACACTTGAAGTGAATGTTTTCGCCTTTGGGTCAACATGGTAACCAGGCAACTAACCTTTTTAAAAGGAGATTATCGAAAGACTTCAAAAGTGTATCTAAACCCAAGAACAAAATTGTAATATATCGCAGCTTACCATTCCCTTACGTGTGGTGGCTGCATTTGTTTTTCATTTTCAGGCTAAGAACAGAAAATCCAGTGTCCTTGTAACTTCCTGTGAGCTGAACTAAAACCTCACACAATGTTATCAGCTTTCCCAGCTTAACTACAATGATAAATTCCACCATGTAATAGAGAGAAAAAGGTGTTTGTAGTCAAAATCATGATAGCAGCCTAGGGTGACAACGCTGCTCCTCCATAGATATAGTGCAGTGAGTGACAGGAAGTGTGTTACTGGCAGGATCACCAGGTAAAATTAAGGGGGAAAATTGCCTGATTATAGAAAACTGATGCAGCCGCCACATCTAAGGACTAGTAATCTGCAAGGTATTACCTTTTTGTTTTGAGGTTTAGATACAATTCAACATTGTTTTGCAATATAACATTATATTTGCAATATGTTTGCTGTATGTGTTTCCCTTAGAGAACCTTGCCCACGCTCGAGGAACAAATTCTAGTTAAACTCAGGGAAGCAGAAGACAACCTACATATGATTGGCAGAGGAGTCCCTGACACCGAAACGGAGAAACTGGCTTTGCTCGTAGAGGTAAGAGCAGCCTAACCTGTGTACTTGCATAGACGTGCATGTGAATGGCCCCCATCAATGATTGTTTTACCTTTCCTAACCCGTGACCTAAACTAACAGGAATCTTCAGCCACTCAGTAAGAAATCCTCTCCCTCCTGGCTGCGTCTGGCTGTTACAACTCTGTAGGTTTCTATGTTGCAGAGACAGACTTATAGAGGTCTGTTGGGTTCTACTGCACAGGCACAGCCAGAAAAAAAGATTTCAGATAATACAGCTAAAGATTCCTGGGGGTCTCGCTCAATCAAATCAAATAAGCATACATCGGAGGAATTTTGTTTAAGTCAAAAAGTAGGGCTCAAAGGGATAGCTGTACTTTCTATAAAAGACTTAGTCCAATTGTTTGCACTGTTCTGCTACCTGCAAATCATGACATTTGTATTTTCTCCATAGAAAATCAGACAGTTTTCTGAGGGAATAGGCCAAGCAACTGAAGGCGAGGAAGAGCTCACCAACGGGCATATGAAACTTTTCACTGACATCCGAAGACATTTTAACTCCTGGGAACAAATTCTAAAAAAATCAGTTGACAAATGTAAGCAGAGGTCAGAAAGACCCGATTAACACATGCGTGCTGCAAGATGATAGACAGCGTGATAGCAATTATGAATGGCAGATCTATATGTGAGACAAGAGGCGTAACTAGAACCTTCAGGGCCCGGTGCAAGAAACCATGAAGGGCCCCCCCACGCCATGGCACTGTGTGGTTAACAGGAAGGCTGCCGAGGTCCCCAGCCGGAGGAAACCGGCATTTATTTACAAAGTATTAGTTTGTAATGGTTAATTGTGACTGTTAATATTATGCCATTAATTGCAGTAAATGATGGCTGGCATATTATTAACGGTCACAATTAACGATTTAAAGTAAATACCTGGTCAATAAATGCCAGTTTCCTTGATAATACTGGTCTGTGCGCAAGTGCAGATGCTGAGGACGGCAAATTCGACTAGGTTGGCGTTCTCAACAGAACACCGGTATCTGCATTTAGTATCGGTGCATTTTCACGGGTATAAGTCTCCTGAAAATGCCCAGTATTGGCACTGGTGCATCCCTACTTTGGAGATTGTGTGGTACACTTTAGGGAAACCAGAACCTCAGAGACACCTAAAAAGAAGTGTTCTAGCGGCCACTTTTTGTTATATTTTGCCATATAAACGTCACAGCGACCACTTATGTCTCCCTATTGCATTTCTGGAGTTTTGTGGAATACAAGAAGGAAGAATCTGATTGGTTGTTGTAGGCAGCTGAGACCTTTTTCTATTCAGATGTGTTCATACATGAGGGCCAACATGCCTTGTGAGCCAGCAATATTTTTTTTTTCCCCCGTATAATTCTCTTTCTGTCCTTTGCTATTTCAGTCCCCCGGGAAATAAGAAATGATGTCCATGTCTATGAAACCAAACATCGAGGCCGGGAACTGACAGGATTCATCAGTTTCAGAACATTTGAACACATTGCAAAGAAGCAAATTCAGACTTTTGAACATCCGGCGATATTACAGCTGAATGAGGTCACAGGTGAGTGCAGAGCACCGTTCTTATTTTCGTGGTAGGTCTTACTTTCGGGGAAACACGGTAGTATCGCCATGTCAGGGGAACAGACAACCAGACAGCCACGCTTCTCCCCCAGACCCTTGCTGGGGAGAAACGCGTAAAGGAGCAGCGTGGCTTTCTGTTCCTCTGCCATGGCGATACTATGATCCCGGCTGTGTCCTTTTGACAAGGAACTACACGAACTTCAATATTGGGTCCAAGCCATCGGCAATCTCCTTGCAATTTGTTCATCAAATGGACTTTTGATATGCAGTCTCCGCTCAAGAGAGATAAGTACATCTAATCTCTGTAAGAAAACTTGGTGAATGAATCCATATGAATGTTTGGATACTTGTGGATGTATCAAGTTGAATTAGAACTACATGATACAGCAACCGAACCTATGGTGTCCTAATATACATGGAGTTGATATGGTTGCTGGACTCCATGAACACGGGCTCACTATACATTATGAGATTTCTATGATTCCTATTTATGAGGTTTTGTAACAAGTATTATTCACTCATGATATATTAGAACAGCTATAACGAATTGATTCATAGCTGGGGCTATAGAACTATAGTTGGGCATCATTCCTACACTTTATACAGAGCAATGGTGAGGGTAGAAGGGATAGATTTTATCTGTTTTTAAATGTTTGTTATTATTATTATTATGTGGTGCAATTAATTAGGTTACAATAAAAACATTGTTTATTAGTGTTTTTGGACTTGGTTATCCTATATTGGGATTTCTCTATGGGGAAAATGTGCTATTTGAGATTTAGATAAGAGAGACCCATATTGGTTTATATGTTGATTGATGGTCTATGTAGCTGTCCTCTCTCCCCTGTTTATAATACGACTGCAGTTTTTTCACTGATTAATGGCTGAATGGTGAAGTATGTTCACTTGGGGCCACCAGCCCAATAGAACTCATTATTACTGGCCCAGGAGGCAAATGCTCCCCTGCCCCCCAGCTCAGGGCCTCCCCTGGCTGGTGACCAAGCAGTTTTGCTTTACAGTTTTTACTGCTTTTCCCCGAAAATAAGACCTACCCCGAAAATAAGACCTAGTACTATTTTTGGGAATTGCTAAAATATAAGACCTACCCCGAAAATAAGAACGAGTTGTGACCATTCCCAGGGCCGGTGGTGGCATAAGGGGGAACTTGAAGAGCCGCGGGAGAGAATCAGCGGTGCCAACGAAGGAAGCGCTAGAGGAAGCGAGGCGGGATTGTAGGGAGCAGAGCCACATAAGCCGATGCTTCCTCTATAGCGCCGGCTCCAGTCACAGGCGGAGTGATACCAAATGCACTCGATAGTGAAAGCGCGCTTTGCTCATTCTGGCCAGCGATTGGTTAGCAAATTGCTCTTGGAAAGGTACGGCACCCATGATTGCCCTGATCACCGTATTTTTGTACATGAATACATGTAGACTGTTGTACATGAATAAGTGTGGATTGTTATACACTAAAAAAAAAATAAGACCTTGTGTGTTTTTTTGAGCCCAAAAAAATATAAGACAGTGTCTTATTTTCAGGGAAACTCGGTAGTAACATAGTAAGTAAGGTTGAATAAAAACACAGGTCCATCTAGTTGCAGTAGAGAAAAGCGAGGTTATCAGCCAGACTCTTCTGCTTGGCAAGAGACCACAAGGCCAGAATGACAAATCCTGCAGATGACATAGTTCACATACAGTTGACACATTTTAGCTGCTTGCCTGGTGTTCAAAAACAATGCTAATTTTGTACGTATCCATTGCCCTAGAGCTTGTCCGATCATCCTTTAATAATGTCGCTTCGAGGAACTTCTTGCAACATCAAAATCTCTACAGAAGTGCCAAGGTAAGACTGATCACCAACCCACGAATGCAAATTTTTACATAATCGTTACCCACTAGTCCCCTTGCACTGATGTCATGGACTGCAGGCTCTATTCTGGATCCCGAGAGGACCCCAGTGATGTACAGCCAATAGAAAGTGTCCACGTCATGCAGCCAGTGGTGTGGACACCTGAAGAAGGACCCCAACTCTAGTAAACAGGAAAGAGTCAGGACAGGATTGTCATGTGACCATGGGTTTAAAATTGCTTTAAAATGTACCTATGCAGTGGGGTTTTAATTCATGAGTTGGATGAGGAATAAGGTGAAATACTTTCCCTACTCTCCACTCCTGCAGACTCCCTTCATGCTGCAGGACGGGTCCCCTAATAGGTAATGTTTTCAGCAGGCAGGAGTTGGGCTTTGAGCTGACCAGAGTTAAAATACTAAAATCTGTAAGACTTTACCTATCTGTTTTACTTTCCGAAGGGTAAACTTGAACATATCTGTAGTGTGCAGCAGAAAAAGGCAGAAGAGGCAATCAAGACTCAGTTCCAAATGGAGAAAATCATTTATTGTCAGGACGCACTTTATGGCAAATCGCTGAAGGAGACCAGAGACGAGGCCGAAGAGGAAGAGAAGGAGAAGAACAAGCGTGTTGGTTTTAAACAAGAAGCCAGCCAGTTGCAGTTATCAGTTGAAGAAATGTCTTGCCACATTCAGGCATACTTCACGGTGAGTCCCCCAGGCCTGCTATATAACGTAGATGTAAACCCAATCACTAAAATCTCATCAAATATTTATTATTTCATTTTCACTATTTTAAAATGTGCACCTTTCATGCAAACAATACCGGGGGATCCTGGCATGACGGTCCTAGTTCAGGCACTTCCTGTTAGAGGGTGACATCACTGTCCTTGTCTCCCAGTTGTGCTCCTGTGTTGTCACGCTGTCACATGGGCTTCCAATGAGACTACAAATGGCCATTTCTACACACATGACAGAGGCATGGTCTACCATTGTCACCATCAGGAAACTCACTCTGAGAAATGACGGGCAGCCATTGCTGGAGTGCATGTAGGCAGAAAGTGGCTGGGAAGAGACTGCATGAGAACAGCAGCACAAAGATGTAACAAAAGAGAAAAACAAGATGAAATCTATTTTATTTGACAAAGATTGGCAATAGTTTATGATGCACAGTGCTTTAGCAAACCAAATGCCATTCGGTTAGGGTTTACATCTACTTTAAAGTTGAACTCCAGGTTAGCAGTTAGCCTGCAGTTAGTCTTTCCTTAGAAATGGTTTCATGTATTTGTATATGCAGTTAGTCTAAGCACCCGACTTTGTCTTCATATCAGCCTTCTACAAACTAGCATTCCAGAAAAATGCACACCACAGCGCTCAGCAGACTCCCAATGATATTCTCCACCAACAATCATTTGGAGGCTGTCGTCATCAAAAGGCCACTGGGAAGTTTTCCTCACAAAACATGCAAAACAGACAGCACCTTGTCCTCGTGTAATACCATACAGCTGAGGAAGGGGGTATATTCCTCGAAACGCGTCAGCTGGCAAGGCAGCTTTGTCTGGGGTCTGCCTTGTACCATTCATTCAGTGATTACCATGTGAGTAGTATTTTATGTCAGCTTATATGTTCATTAATTAATAAACGGTATTACACGAGGACAAGGCGCTGTCTGTTTTGCACGTTTTTTTTTTACAAACTAGCAGATGTAAGAAAGGGAGGGGCAGCACTAGGAGCCCCTTTGTTAGCACATGTGCACTAGGAGTCTTCAGAGAACAACAATGGAGATATAGTGAGTATTGAAACCAGAGCTAGTATAGAGCTGGGAAATTGATTTAGGATTGGACTTTCCATGAATTTATAGTACATACCGTAGATTTTTTTTTTATATGCATGGAATTCTGCTCCAATTTCTTGGCTGACTGAGCACCATTTTTTTCATCCGTCCTCTTTCTTCGTTTCTCTTAGGCTGCAACGGCTCGCCTTGCCAATCAAATCCCTCTGATTATTCAGCACTATATCCTGTATGAGATTGCCCATCAGCTTCAGGCTCAGATGATGCAACTGATCCAGGATAGAGAGAACTTAGATCTGCTGCTACAGGAGAAGCAAGGTCTGGGCAGAGAGAGGAAGAACATAAAGGACCGCATTCAACGTCTACACGCTGCTCAGCTAGAACTGTCCAGATTCCCCAACTGAAAGGAGATTCGTCATTATAAAGAGGACCACGGATTAGGATTGCATTAGAAAACCATATTCTATTTACATTTAGCGTGAGACACTGGTGTTTTGCTAGTGCTGCGCTGTCCACATACGGTCTGCAATCTGTGCAAATTGTATTCTGGAGCCGCCATAGCAATTACCCTCAGATGAGAAACAAGTCAAGAATAGGCATTTGTAAAAGTCTGAATCTCCACTATTGTATGATATAAAAGTGCAGCCTTTAGGGATAGCTGTGTGTGCTGATATTTAGTTGTATTCTCTTCCAGTCACAGCAGAATGGTAAGGCCCCCCACACAGGCTGACCTACCAGAGCTTGGTGTCAAAAACTAACCATGACTGCATATACTTTGTATAGACTGACAGCTTTTTCAGCGTCTGTTATCCTCACTAAGCTTAGACAGGAGATAACACATCAAAGACACAAAACATTTAAAAAATGGTGGCCGCAGGTTAAAGTCTTAAATAGTTCCATGAACAGGTATGCTACCTTGCTCATGAAGCATTAGTGAAAATCTGCCCCATTTGTGCCCTCCATCAGTACACTTTCCTTCCTTAATTCCGATTGGCATCCCCATTCCTGGTGAGCTCATCTTGCTTTTTGACTTCCAGGCCTCTGAGCTATGCATGCAGCACACAGATAAAGTAACTGTAGATTGTTTAGACTCTGTATGCCTCCATACAGCAGACCCATCATAACCAGGGCCAAGGGGGTTCTACTTCAAAAGATGACCTTGAGGTTAACAGAATCCTGTTATCCCAAAAAGCCATTCAAGTATATCTACAACCAAAAATTATAATTTTTTCATCTTGGATAGAGTAGGGAATGGTTAAAACCCCTGTGTGTGTCCCATTCACCCATTTCCTGTCACATAGACACAGAAAGTAAGAGGAAGTCTCTCCTAAGTGAGGTAACTCACCTTCTGGTTCTCACCCCAGTGGAAGATTTCCCCAAAATTCCTGTTCTGGTGACAACTAAAAATTTTGGATTCTCTCTTACTTTGTCTTGGTAACAGTGATCACCAGAACACATTGAGAGGGAGTCAAATCTGATGGGTTCTAATACTTCCCTGCTCTATCCAAAGCTATACAAAGTTTTGCCTTTAGATCTCTGCAATGAGGGCTGTGCCGACTGTCACAAAGCAGGACTACAAGAAAGAGTAAAAGTAAAAAATAAAAACAGCAACCCATAGACATGTAATCTGCACATTCCAGACATTCAGTTATACTCAGTAAGTACAGATGAACGGAAAAACACTATTAATTGGCAGACAGTGGAGGGAGAAAGAACCCTTGTGGGGTTTTTACTGCAATCTGTGACACCACTTCTTATTTGCAGATGGTACAGGAAGTGAAGAATCTCTCCTCTGGGGACACAATGTAGCTTTAACGATATCCGGACAGTTTGCAGTTACTTCATTTTGAATGCTTGTGGCTGCAAACTGTCCTAATGTCGGTAAGGTTGTCAGCAGATCTGCCTGACACTTATCTCCAGCCGTACGCTGCCAGGTTTTGGCTGGAGTTGGCCATTCATTCCTGAAGCATCATTTGATCAATTAGCCGGCGCCATATTGAACGTTTATGATGTTAGTTGCTTGTTCACAGTTTTATTGTATTTTTGTTTTACAAGCACACAATATTTTACCATCCAGTCTTGGTGGATATGTTATTCATTCGAATCACTTTCTTCTTTTACTAGAATGTTTGAAGATATGATTCTGTTTTTATACACTAACAGCAATCTTGGTTTATTTTTAACAAATTGAGTTTTAGTAAAATATTCACCAAAGATATGAATTACAAGCTGAAATATATTGTTTCTTTTACATTGTGTTGGTCTTCTCTTAACATATGTGTACGAGATTGTGTGAAATACTACACTTTAACCACATATGCATTACTGCATCACAGTGCCCTGCAAAGACTCAATGGGGCCCAACGCTTCTAAATGGGGAGCAGTGCAGAGGTGCCTCAACGTATGTTTCACTCTCTACTTCCATATAGCACTTAAAAGCATTTAGACCTCTAGGATATTGTTTTAAATTAGTTGGAGCTGGATACATCCACCACCCTCTGCCTCTAGGTTGCATCCTCTAGTGTTTGTCATATGTTTATTTAATATATAGTTTTAATTTTATTATCTTCATAGATGTATCTTGTTTTAAAATGACGTGTTTCATATGCCTACGTTCAGACTGTTATATTGTTTTTAGAAAATAAATATCAAACTAAAACTGTAAAGACAGCCTTGTACTTCTTTTACTCTGCACATTGGTCATGGGGTGACGACACATCATGGGACTAGCGAAAGATGGGCAGATGGGTTGATCTTCTTACCTGTTGTTTTTGGGAAGATAACTGCCTTTCTGTGGCCCTTAAGCTGCCCATACACCTTGCGATCATCGGACGAAACTTTTCGTCCGATGATCGAACCGTCGAGCGATTTTCGTACGGCGACCCCATCCTGCCCCGATTAACGCAAGGTTGGATCAGCGGTAATTAAAAGAAATCACCTGGACGAATTCCGGTAATCGACCACATGTATTTTTGTCTGCGTATGTGCAGTGTAAATCGTACAAATTTTGACGTACGGAAACGCCACCAACCTTGTGAAAATCGTACGATCGACCGAAGTTTTCTAACCTGCTGGTTAGTCAGAAGTCGATCAATTGTACAGTATTTGCGGTTGTACACTGACCATCAACCTTACGAATATCGGAATTAAAACACGATCACATACGAAAACCGGGCGATATTCGTAAGGTGTATGGGCAGCTTTAGAATGTAAAAATAACTGTAGTCAGTCAGAAATGTCACATGATTTAAAAGTAAGCAATTGAATGTTGCACAAAAGAATATACTATCGAGTGAACTGTTCCAAGTTTTTTTAGCACTCTATGATCTCTTCAGACTGCCCTAGGCTGAATGGTGGGGTTAGCGTAAATTAATGTTCCTTACCATTTATTTTGATTTCCTCAAAGATAGGACAAAGACCATGTGTGTCCTATCTAAAATGGTGTATCCAACCAATCTCTCTATGGCCATGCTGAGACCCCAGGCAGCACTCTGCATAGTAATGCATCTTAATCCCTCCAAAGAGAAGTGACACCTGGTTAAAGGACTGTGCCAAAAAAGTCAATTAGAGGGCAGCGAGGACTAGTCACCAGTACCTGTGGTATCCCTGGAGCAAGTCTTCTCCCCATTACTGACTCTCCATGCCTTGCTCTAAACTATTATCTCGGTGTGGAGGTGGCCGTTTTGGTAGAGCAGCAGGGCTTTACTTCCTCCTGTCAGTGCTTCCCATCTGATGACTGGTGGAGTAATATTCATGAAGAAAGAGTGTTGGAGCAAAGTTCAGGAATGAAGAATGCAGATGCACGGAGATCCTTGCACTACAGGTCCTCAGGTACAGGTGCCTCTCCAACAAGGCGAGCAGGGATCAGGCAGTTGTGGCATCATCAGATCTCACTCCAAATCTGTGGGGACTAGTAGAGGTAGCAGTCCCTTAGATGATCTCACACTACAGGAAGTGCATCATTTTGCAAAACAAAAATTGAAGGGTACTGCTGATATAAAATGTTTTCTATTGTAGTTGAAGCCCACTTTAAATGCAGTTTTCAGGTAGAAGTAATTTTATGGCTAGAGATTTTTAGCTTGGGTAAACATGGAGCCCCCCCAAAAAAGAGTTGGTATTGGAAGTATCCACAAATTTATCGGAACCAAAGTCTACACACACACACACACACACACACACACACACACATTAT